AAAAGTGAAGACTACGTGGAAGGGACCTCACCTGAGGACAGCAGGTGGCCAGCTGTTGATGCCTGTCGGAAGGTGTACAGCAAGACTTGGCATCGGCGGTTCTTCTTTCATGGCGACGTTTGTCATCCTTACCTCATGTTGCAAGGACCTGATCATATGGATGGACGTCTTAAGAGAATATGGTGCTGTCATCAACATCCCGGACCGTTCAATTACATTCCGCAACAGCCCTGGTTTAGTTGACTGTTCAGACGCAATACGTAACACTTTACGTAGAATTAATGTTGATGTTGTCGTCCCGCCACGGTTGTTTCGGTGGAAGGGCACGAAGCGTTTGATGGCGAAGGCATTGCCGACCAAATTGGCTCACTGCTATTTAGCCATGGAATTTCGGTCACACGAGGTATCGTCCGTCTCACTGGTAGGCGCAGGAATTCACTTTAGACCAACTTCAGTACTGAGTGCCGGCACCTGCCGAAAGGCACAGCTATCGCTTCGTACGACAATATCGTAGAAATGCGAGGCAGTTCAAGTTTATCGGTATTAGACGAAGCGCCTAATCAAGAACCAGAACCCGTTCTCGACGTTGGCCCCACTCTGTCACAGGATGACCGACAGAGACTCCTTCAGCTGCTAGCCGAATTCCGCGACTACTTTTGATCGACCTCACGAGTTGGTCGAACACCTTTGACAAAGCATCGAATAATCACCGAGGACACGGCGAGACCTATTCACCAGAACCCTTATCGTGTAGCTTTAAAGAAACGGGAAGCCATGCAACAACAAGTCGCGAAAATGCTTGAAGATGATGTAATTCAACCGTCTCAGAGCCCCTGGGCAACGCCTGTAGTGCTTGTAAAGAAAAAGGACGGCACGCTGCTTTTTTGCGTGGACTACAGGAAGCTGAATCGGGTGACCAAAAAAGATGTGTACCCGCTCCCACATATTGATGACTCCTTTGACAGACTTCGGCACGCTCGCTACTTTTCTTCCATGGACTTGAGGAGTGCATACTGGCTGATCGAGGTAGACCCAAGAGACCGAGAGAAAACCGCTTTTGTGACGCGAGATGGTTTATACGAGTTTAAAGTCCTGCCTTTTGGTTTGTGCTCCGCGCCCGCGACTTATCAAAGGCTTATGAACAAGGTACTTTCGAGATTAAAGTAGATGACGTGCCTAATCTATCTGGAGGACGTTGTAGTGTTTTCAACAACTTTCGACGAGCATCTAAGATGGCTGGACGTTGTTATACGTGCCATACGGTCTGCGGGCCTAACATTGAAACCAGAAAAGTGTCATTTCTGTTTCCACGAACTTCAGTTTCTTGGTCACGTCGTCAGTAACGCCGGTGTCCGGCCCGATCCTGGAAAAATTGGCCGCTGTCACACGGTTCCCAGTACCCTCCAATGGGCACAGAAAAGGTAATTGCTTACGCAAGCTGAACGTTAACACGCGCTGAAGCTAATTACTCCACAACTGAGAAAAAATGTCTCGCCGTGGTATGGGTGGTTTCAAAATTTCGCCCGTATTTATATGGCCGCCCCTTCAAAGTAATTAGCGACCACCACTCACTGTGCTGGTTAACAAGTCTAAAAGACCCTACTGGGCGATTACCGCGTTGGAATCTCAGGCTGCAAGAATTCGATATGGTAGTCGTACATAAGTCAGGCAAGCGACATATGGACGCTGACTGTCTGTCCAGTTCGCCCATTGAGTCGGCAACCCTACCTGAAGAGGAGGAAACGGCATTTCGCGGTGCCCTTCACAAGATCGCCATTGCGCAGCAACAACGTGACGACGGTGAGTTGCTTGGCCTAATTAACTACTTGGGTGGCAGATCTCAGAAGGCGCCAAGAGTTTTCGCAAGAGTGTTGTCATCGTTTTGTTTACGGGACCGAGTACTCTACAAAAGAAACTTTTCGCCGACGGGATCCGCCTATCTGCTCGTCATTCCAGCAGCCCTTCGTACTTAAGTACTCAAAGCATGCCACAACGAGGTGAGCTCTGGCCATTTGGGTTACAGGAGAACGTCGGCCAGAATACAGCAAAGGTAGTACTGGCCGAGACTAACCACAGCCGTGAAGCACCACGTCCGTACCTGTCTCGACTGCCAGTGACGCAAGCCACCACCGACTAAACCAGCTGGCCTCTTGCAACCCGTACAGGTCCCAACAGCTCCAATCTACCAGATCGGCATGGACATTTTGGACCCACTACCTACTTCTACTGCATGGAACCACTGGGTTATCGTCGCGACGGATTATCTGACCTGTTATTCCGAGACCAAAGCTATGCAGAGAGGTACAGCAGCGGATGTGGCAAGATTTTTCATCAAGAACATTGTACTGAGGCATGGTGCACCAACCATCGTGATCACAGACAGAGGAGCCGCATTTATGGCAGCTCTTTTGGATGACGTCCTCATACTGAGTGGAACAGCGCATCGTAAGACCACCGCCTACCACCCACAAATGAACGGGCTGACAGAGCGTGTAAACAAAACCATTGAAGACATGCTTTCGATGTACGTAGACGTTAAACACAAAAATTGGAATGAAATCTCGCCATACATAACGTTTGCGTACAACACGGCCAAGCAAGAAACGACCCGCCTGACCCCGTTCAGCCTCGTTCATGGACGAGAAATGCGAACTATGTTAGAAGCGATGCTGTCGCACGAAGGTGACGACATCGACCCATACGCCAACACGTTTACGGAACGTGCGGAAGAAGCTAGGAAACTTGCACGTTTACGGATCCACCAGCAGCAAGAGTACGATGCAGGCCGCTACAATGCTCACCGCAGAACAGTCGTCTATCCAACTGGCGACAAAGTATGGGTTCGGACACCCGTACGGAAACGAGGACTTTCCAAAAAGCTTTTAAGAAGATACTTTGGGCCATACCGAGTGATGCGACAACTCAGTGAGGTTACTTACGAAGTTGTTGCCGGCAGTTCGTGTAGTACCAAGCGTCGCCAGCACCATCCTGAACTCGTTCACGTAGTACGCATGAAGCCTTGCGTCATCGAGTGATAGCGTGAGACTTAAAAAACTGCATTATTGACTTCGCATTGGGTCGATGCTCTTTGAGAGAGAGGCAAATGACCCGTGTCTGCGTGTAAACGACAACGATGATGTGGGGATTGAGCGGACTTTAGGTAGTGGGCCTCTGGCTTGACTCAAGAACAAAGAAGGCAATCTGGCGGCTCAGCTGTTGAAAACACGCTGCTTTCGCTGCCTCAAGGCGTACTTGTGTTTTGTTCACGTTGTACTGCGACAATATTACAATGCGATGAGATGTTTTCAAAGATAATTTCTCGGGAAATCGCAAGTTATTTGAAGTAAGACGTCAGAGTTCAAAATAACAGCCAATTTTTGCTTGGACATCGTCTGCCACCTACGCCACAGCTACCAATGTACAGCCGTCAGCACCTTTAACACGAACAGTTCGATGCGTGGCCAGGGTTAGTTTGATTGATGCCAGCCGCAAAGTGCTCTGCGCTTTTGCCGAGATATTACCTCGGTAGGCTTGGATAGTATTTTGACATGTATGGTTAGCATCTTGGCAACAGAACTCAATCGTACGTACGTGGCGGCAGCATCAATCAAACTGCTGCAGGACACGCGGCGGAGCGTTCGTGCTAAATGTGCTAACGTGTGTACTTCGCAGCCATGGTGCTCAATATGAAATTACGGCCCAAGTACTCCGTAAAAAAGGCTAACCAGCATACTCTAAAACGCGTGGCCCAGCTGTTTAGCAGTCGGTTCCGCCTGACGTGACACAGAAGCTTACCCATGTGGAACGTTTTAGGAGGAATTGATGCGCGTGCACACCGTGCCACGGCACCGGTGCGGTGGGCGACATCTCTCACAACGCTGCCAATGCCGCACGTGTGTATGATGCTTCGAATGACGCAACTGATAACACAGCCAATGGAGACCGCTCGGGACATGGCTGCCGCACGTTTTCCTGTTTCTTCTAATCATATAAAGCTTTCACTGTAAAAATGAAATCAGTTTCTCAACATGCAAAAAAGGTCGGACGGCAAAACTGTCGTTTCTTTCGTGGGACATTACTTTCGAAGAGATTTTTGCTGAGTATCTCATATTCCTATATAGCTTGGTCCTGGTAAGTGCACATCTTCGTAATTTTACGTTGTAATCACACAAAAAACCAGCAAGCCGGCAATGATGATTGGCGTTGCTGCTAAACTTTCAGGTCCGTTACAAAGGACTAACCCGTTATTCATCGTGAGCATCATCAGCGACAGCGACGATGAAGTGTGCGTCTACGTAGGTGTAAACAGTGTTTTGCAAACAAGTAGTCGGCATTTCGCTACTATGAAAAGTGACGATGAACACAGGGCGTAGCTGGTGCTGAGCTATTGTACTCAACGTAGGCACCCTAATACAGTTTATAACAGGCTTTAAAAATGTTTAGAGCTTACTACGTGACTGCGCTGTGCGTTCTGCACCAATTTGGTGTTCTTTTTTGTGCAAGAAACACACAATAGTTGAGACACCATGTGGACAACTGTGACGTAAATCAGAGGCTTCTTCTGATTGATTGATATGTGGGGTTTAACGTCCCAAAACCACTGATGATTATGAGAGACGCCGTAGTGAAGGGCTCCGGAAATTTCGACCACCTGGGGTTCTTTAACGTGCACCCAAATCTGAGTACACGGGCCTACAACAAGAGGCTTCTTCTCTATATAAGGGCGGTTGTATAGACATATTTGGGCAGCAATGTTTCAGAATAGCCTTGGTGTACGGGGACTAGTCTCCTAACCTCATGCGTGACGCGATAGTTTGAAGACATCATCTTGTTTACCGCCCAAGTGCTGCTTCAGCTTTCGGGTGTCGTGGCACTCACAAAATTCTATACGCGTGAGCGGATTTGAAGACACACTGTTTTTTTTCCAGAACTGAAGTTTGAATGGCTGAAATACGGTTTGTTTACTTGTTACGTTTGCGTAGAAGGTGTATGAAGCTCACCTCAAAAAGAAAAAGGTATCCACGCTTAAAAATCCAGCGATTAGGATGGGTGACGTCCAGTGCTGGCTGAATTGCACAGTGTTGATTAGCCTCGCTGAAAGATGAAAAGTATCAATTCATTCATGGCACAGGTAACGTTCTTATCAATGAACAATATATCTGATAATTTTATGGTATTAATATCAGGTGAATACACAGCCCAAAAATAGATTATGTCTTATATATGACAAAGTGATACAGTTTATAGGGGTGATTCACTGCAGTGGCACCCGCATGCTCGGAATGAGTTTGAGGTAATTCTACACTGATTTAACCTAATTTATTAGTGTTCCACCTAGAATATAGAAATGTTTATATGGGGGCAAGATGCGCCTCGTTGGAAACATTCACCAAGATTAATACATGGAGAAATATCCTATATCAATGAAACAAGTCTTTCGTAGTCAATCATGTGAAAAACGTATTTCTTTATCATCTTTGGCACGCCGCGTCCACTATTTCTTCATTCAGTATCGCAGTATGCATAGATAAGATGTATTGCAGTGCACAGACCTGATCTGAAAAGTAACTCACATATATTTGCATTGAAGAGGACGTACATATGAGTAAGGCAGACCCAGTATATGCTCAAGAACCGGAGTCCATGGAAACACCGCGTATCGAAGTTGTGATTTGGTTGGGTGCTTCGCAGCAGCCTGCTGCTTCTTAGCACTGAAAACGCCATGAAGTAGTTGTGCGAAAGAACTGCAATGAAAAATTATGAGTCCAATAAACACAATCGTTGTCTTGAAAGTACTGTCTTGTGCAGATCGTACTTGGAAAACCCGTACTGCATGCAGAAAAAAAATCTAGCAAAAACGTATCTCTTCAAGCGAAATGTTGCTCAATCGTCACCTGCAGCTCTGGACGTGTGTGTTTTTGGATGATCCCCGCCAAGCATTTCTAGATGTACCCAGCCAGTCCAGTATATGACTTCTAGACGTTTATGCACGTGCGCAACTCAGCGTGTTTTAACTTGCGCGATAAAGTAGAAGTACGCATGAGTATACGCTCTTGTAGACGCGTGTTTGAGTTTCTGTCAATAAGTGTGACATCATTATGCCCTTGAACTGATTCCCTTCCTGGCCGCAGACAAGGTGAGTTGAAGAAATATGCTTTTCGGCGCGTAAAGTTGGGACGTTTGTACGAGGCGATTGAGAGCAAACACTCAAACTGTTTAGCCTATTAACAAACATTGCACTAAAAAGTCATTGAAACAAAACATTTCGCTTTTCAATAATTCTGCTTTCAGACATCTTTAAACTGCATGAAACAACAAGAATACTGTGCACTTTTACGCACCTTTCATCAGTTTTTTGTCTTGCGTTTCAGCGTAGAGGTCAAGACATGTTGCAGCAACAATAATAGCTGCAACAACAACCAATGATGCGCTGAAAATGGCACAAATGATTGAAGTATAATGAGTGTAATGGGAAAGGTCCTTTTACTGAGTGTTGCTTAAAAAATGGCATGCTCTAGTTCTTCGTGCCCAAATTGCTATGGATACAACGACAACTGGGCGTTTAGTTAAAATGACGTGACACTAAATTGAACTTTATTCAAGTGCTTATGTTGAAACATCCGTTTCTACATAAGCACCAAGTACTTAAACTAAGTCATGGTGTAAATTGAAAATTTTGGTAAGGAAACGCATTGGACAACAAAGCCGCATGTACAATAATAATTACATAAAGTCGTAGTTGCTGTTTACAAAAAAGGGTTCACTGACAAAGCTTAGCAGCACTGGCAGAGAATAAAAGCTATAATGAAAACCCCGCATGTTTTGAACATCTTTCTTCTGGTGAGTGGACAAACAATTCAATTATAGTTTCTTCTAGGCTACGCAAAACAATAAAAGAGATAGCACTTGGTTTTAAACGCCTTCCTTTTACCAAAATAGGGTAACAAGTTTTTCCTTACTTCAGCGCAAGGTATATCTTGTGCTTATGTAAACAAGAAGGTTTATGATTTGGTGTTAAAGTGTGATAAGTGAAGTGACCGGAAGTTTCTCAGCACGTAGGACATGCTCCTGGTAATGAAATCTTAAAATTAGGCGAAGTGGTCAATAGAGAGATAAATTAACAATTTGAAAAAAGATGTACAAATTGCAGTCATTCTATCCTTATTGTAGGCTCATGTACTAATGGCAAAATAAAAATCAATATTTATTGGAGTTTACACAATAAATACGAATTCGTGAGTTATCGTGATATAAACATAATATAAGCTATTGCAGAAGCACAAATCATAGTTCACGGTTTATTGTTTTTCAGCATTTGTGAGTTACTATTTCGGTTGTACATTTGTCATTGCCATTGAGTGTCACGATTCGGTAGTGCAGTGTTTGGGAACAATACTTCACTGCGATACAGTTATTCGATTTGCTGACATATAGAAATATATGAAATAGAGACTTTAAAGGATCATCTAATATGACTAAAATGGCAAGTATAAATTTAAACATAGTACCTAAAGAGCCAACTGATGGATTTTTAAGCTATACACGTTTAGTAATCTTTTTTTCTCGCAGTTCGTTTGGGTTGTCCAGACATGTAATTGTAATAATGGCTATACAGCCTTTTTTATGAGGGATATAGTGATTCCAAGTTAGTTAGCAAGGAGCCTCACAAGAACAATAACAATATTTAGGTAAGATTACAAACACAATAATAAATATCATTTTTGATCCACAATGGAATCAAATTTCTCATGTATATTTCAGCAACGGAACTGGATACTTTCGAAAATATAAAGCTAACGTGATTTTTCATATTAGCATTTCGTTAATATATACATTCAGTGCAATAAACAGCGTTTACCACAAAGCTTATTAGAAGGTTCTTTGCTTCTCATTTTATATAAGAACCATCTCCCGGATTCTCCTAACTCCTTCATTAACAATCATAGCGCTTAATACGCAGATGACACTGCCATATTTGCTTCTGACAAGTCTTAATGCTAGTAATACAAGGATCCTAAATACTCAGGTTTACGCACCAATATCACGATAATGATTATGATGAATATCGTACTGCAGTGATGCAAACATTTCGACACCTGCAAGTTTTTCAACGTGCACGCAAGTCTAAGTGCACGGGCGAGTAGCATCTCGGGTCAACTGAAGCGTGACGGCTTGTGCGGGACTCAATTTAGCGATTTAAAGGTCGGCAATCAAGCACTATTAGAAGGGGGTGGCTGCTCTTATGTACTAGAAGGTTGAATATTTCATTGATCAACCTAATTAACTGGTGTAGCAACCGTTATCAAGTCCGTAATCCACTAAAATTAATTACTCACTTAAGAGTGCTGATGTCCTAATAACATCTATACATAAACTAAAACTACTCATTAAATATATTCTAGCTTGTAATATTGTTACTTTTATTCGCATAGGTTTTGATCCTAACCATAAAATTTGCTTTCACATCGATCTTTGGAAGCAGAAGGCGTGGTTTGATATTCGCGCATTAGTCAAACCTAGTGCCCTTTTTATCGCTCGTGAGCATGCTCTAGTGTTGTATTATGTTTTAGTTTGTTGTCATACTCTCATATATTTACTCTTGTACTCGTAACTTTGATTGATATGTGGGGTTTAACGTCCTAAAACCACCATATGATTATGAGAGACGCCGTAGTGGAGGGCTCCGGAAATTTTGACCACCTGGGGTTCCTTAACCTGCAACCAAATCTGAGCACACGGGCCTACAACATTTCCGCTTCCATCAGAAATGCAGCCGCCGTAGCCGGCATTTGAACACGCGAACTGCGGATCAGCAGCCGAGTACCTTAGCCACTAGACCACCGCGACGGAGCTCTTGTTCTCGTAACACTTATGATTTTCTTGTCACTTATCAAAACTTCAATATTCCAAATGATCAATACGCATTGTAACGTCCAGTTACACACTATCTGTATTACTTCTTTTCTGCCATTCTCAGCTGCCTGTTATTTATTTGCTGCACCTAACGTACTCTTAATAATGGACAATAAACTTCATGGCAACATTACCTCTCGTTTATAGCGCTTTACTTCTTGCGGAACAAAAACGTTCAGATTTGCATGTGATTGCAGTTTTCTTGTTACCGATGGTTTATACTGTCATAAGAAGGAAGAAGCATTGGCGCTCATTGCAATTTAAGCTTTTGATCATTTGCCCTAGAGTAAATCAAATGCTGTGTTCAATACCATTTGCTGTCAGACATTTCGATATTTCCGCCAGCAATATATTTTATATTTTCTTCACTCTCTACAAAGTGCAGACGAGACCCAAGAAAGACAATATTTGTGTCGCCTCCAGACGTCATCATTGAAGGAATGCTAAAAATTCTGACTATCAATAATATGCAGGAGAAACAAGAGTGGCCCCACATACAAGCCTAAAAAAACACGATTAGGTATATTCATGTGGCTATATTAAGCATCATTGGAACTAATACACTATTTTCTTCATGATAAGTACCTCCGCCAAGTACAGCCGGTGGCCTCTAGTACTATAGGAGCTGCGCGAGCAGATGGTGCCGGCGAAGAACAGCACACCCTCCAAAAATTTTTCCTACCCCCTTTTACCCAAATACACGCATAAGTATCTACCCTCCCCCACCTTCTCAAATATTGACTTGTTGATACCTTCCCACTGAAAAAATAATGGTGGGGCTCCAAGATATCCTCATTATCAGCAGAATGGAGAGATATTCTTACACCCAGGAACGATTCACCTGTGAAATGCTTATCATCCATGTTCATTATTCCATGATTGGCACATTAGCACCATTCTGTTTATTTTCAATGTGGGAATTCGCAGCATTCCTGTGGTGTTTCATTTACTTTCTACCTATACTACTTGAACACCTGTCTCTGATATTTCCAGTAACTACGCAAAGTGTTCGGCCAAAAACATGGTTTTCATCCAGCGGCTGCTGCAAACAAATATGGCTGATCATTTTTCACCAATCTTGTATACTTCGCAGTACATTCACTGTTCTACTGGGTTTTGTGTTGCATTTGTTGTTGTTATCGTCTTTGTGGTCGCATATTCTTTCATTCGATGCAGCAATTTCTCGTATAGAACTTGCCCCGCCATGGCGGTCTAGTGGCTAAGGTATTCGGCCGCTGACCCGCAGGTCGCGGGATCAAATCCCGGCTGCGGCGGCTGCATTTACGAGGGAGGCGGAAATGTTATAGGTCCGTGTACTCTAACTTGGGTGCACGTTAAAAACACTTCATGTTTTCGAAATTTCCGGAGCTCTCTACTAAGGCGTCTCTCATAATCATATGGTTGTTTTGACACGTTAACCCCATATATCAATCAATCTCATTTAAAATTTCTTTATTATCTGTGCTGCAACTAAACCCGTCTGTAACAATCTATCCGAACAACAGAAAAAAAAGTTGGGCCTTTGTCAGGTGGCTAGAAGCACCTCCAATTCAATGTCTTGTCGTTTCCAACGCTTTTTCCTATATATTGTTATTCCTACATAGGACTAGCGTCCATCATACATCAATCCGAAACCATATTATACACACTGCTAGTTATTTGCAGAGTATACATTTAACGTGTGACTGCCTCACTCGCATGTAAATGATGGTGTGAAATCTCCAGCGTGACTGATTAGAGCTCCCCGAGAAAACAAGCACACCTGGTCACAATCCACTTACGACTGAAGCCTTTCAGTCATAAACTAAGTGAGCTTTTCGACACTCTCGGCTTGAAACTGCAGTTACCGGGTGTAGGAACAGTTACTGCATTTGACAATACGTACTCTGTTGACTACACGTACGACTACACGTACTACGCATCACAGACTATACATGCTACACGTATTGTATTACACACTGCGTGTTTTTACCGTGTGACATCATATTCTCGCCTCAATTTTACTTGTTGCGCTGTACCACCTACTATTGAGATTCAACGCAGTAATCCAATCTCGCTTTAAACATTCCCAAATAAGGAATCAAACGAATAAAGCATTTTCGTACACACTTACATGATGCACATTTGGGCTCTGTTCATCTCTTCTGGTTCATTACTCACGCAGTTCTTCACGTCAACTTTTACACCAGTTCCTGCGACTAAATATACGCAAAAAAATTCAATGGTTTATTGAAGCCTTGCTTGTAATTGTATTGTGCATATCAGATAATACATCCATTTAAAGAAAAGCACACTCTTTATTAAAAACTAAAGTATTTATTTGTATGTCTATTTCTGTAACCTCTACACCCCTACGTTAGAGGTTTGGGTGACTGAGCAACCCAACATTATTTACACAACTGAAGCATTCGTGTTTGAGGCATGCCAGACCGCAAAATATAGCACAAACCTTTTGTAAAAAACTGGAGTGTAGAGCATGAATTAGTTCTTTTTATAAGATATTGTTCATGTAGCCAAACTCTAGCAATTGCTATTCTGGCTCGTGGTAAACTACTAAATATGAAAACAAATACACCATGACAGCGAAGTTTCCCACGATGTGCATGCACAAGAGGGCCTTTGCCAAGTCCCGGTAACCTGGTGCTCGTTTCGGTTTGAAAGAACATGTACGCTCGCCGCAGTTGCTGGGCGTCATAAGATCCGGTTGAACGAAGTGTGGTTAGTGTGAATGTTCACATTTATTGGTTGTCACAAATTTTACAAATAAAAACATATTTGATACTCCTGCAAAGAGTTTCTGTTCTGTTTATATGTCTTTTCTTATTCCTTATTTCGTGAATTTTAAATCAGGCGAATCGCGGGAAGTGATCACGGGAAGTGCTCCTTGTCGCCCCTCGCTCAGTGATATCAGAAGTTGTATTGCGCTCAATTACATCGCTTGGTTGGCATGTCACCTACGGGAAAGATAAAAACAGAAAATTGTGGCGAGCTGAGAACAGCAGCCAAAGTGCGCTATGCCGAACAGTTCAACAATGCTATCTTCCGAGATGGCTTAATAGGGCAACACATGTTTTCTGCTGTTCTGCGGTGTGCTAACCCGGGATTTGTAGTTCTGCGAACGTTTTTCAGCGTTTCCTCAAGGCAGCGGGTGAGGACAAGAATTTGAACCCAATAGTCGAGCAGGTGTTGATATTGCATGAGAACAATGCTCAACCATCATGTCTATAGCGACGGAGCGTTGTGCTCAGAACAGCACAAGCGGCCCCTGCAGTCACAAATGCACAACATCTGAGCATCCGCAGTGCCAGTGATTTACCTGCCTTGCAGTTTCTACGCTTCTTTATTTTCGCGGCCGCAATGACTGCTTTGGCCGATCAAGTGCTGTCAACATTATAGAACCGAAAGAAAAGAAGAAGAAAGAAATCAATTGGCCGTATAAGCGCCTTTTATACTCTAAACTTATTCTCGCTTTATGATATCATATCAAAGCGAGAAAGGTTAGCTTCGCTTTTGCTAGCTTTTGTTTTGTTTTTCGCTAAAGTGTTCGTAGCGCTTTCGACGGCCAAAGCGGTTGGTGCATCCACGGTGATAAACAACGATCTGTATTGCAAGGCAGGCACATTACTAGCGCCGCGCACTCTCAGATGGGTCGTATTTGCGACTGCAGACGTAGCTCGTGCTGTTCCGCGCGCGAGGCTCCGTCGTTATACACATGGAAGTTGAGCACTGAAGTAATAAAGAAACCCAGTTCTCTGCAAGCCTGACTGGACTGACAGAATTGCAGTGTCGGTTGACTAATTGGTTAATACGGCAGCCAAGCTGCTGTCGGGAAAACGCTATAGTTGAAAGGCTCGATTGGGAGTTGACTCAGCTACATACTTTTAGTTGCTTTTACTTTCGGCATGTAGTTCAAATGTTGTCATAAAGGCTTCCTGCTGATGAATATCTTGTAGCCGCGGTATTAAAATTTGTCAGTCTTTCCTTCTAACAATGTACCTCAAAGACACGTGATGAACCAAATGCTTGTAAAAACAATTACTGAAAATGTCGATGGGGCCAACATTTTGACAAGTGAACTTTTCTTCGTCAAGGCAACGCTGTTGCCCTGACGAAGACAATTCAACTTGCCGAAACTCTGTTTCTAGCAGCTTTCTTTCTCGAAAAACTTTTCATCGCTTCAAGCCTCTCCGTGACTCTGAACATCAGCCGTATTTGATAGTCAAGGTTTTTAAGAAAACTATGAGCGTCATCATACGAAATGTGATTGCGTCAAATACACTGTGTCCTACTCACGAATGTTGAAAATTTTCGCATTTGTTGGGATATTCCTGGCACAACGTTTGCTAAATATGTTCATAAATCAGTTGTAAATTAACTACGTGTATGTTTTTGTACAAAAATTGCAATAAAGTGCATTTAATTTGCGTTGATCAAGTTTCATCTTATTGTGAAATCAGTCAGCTTAACTTTCGCCCCTTTCAAAACATGAACAAAGTTGAAAAAAGACATTAACAATTATTTATGGCCGCATTGCTCAAGCCGCTAGCGCACCTGAAAGAAACACGGGTGCATTTCGCTTGCATGTGAAGTGGGAAAGGAGGGAATCAATTTTCTCCTCCGTTCGTCTAGCTTCTACACCAGCCAAGAAGGCAAGATGTTTGAGGTTCGGAATGTATCCCCTTGATGACTCGAGTGCACGGTGGCAGCGCGAAGGAATAGCCGTAGTTCACTGAAGAGACGCTTTATTGCAGCCTCAGACGTCTGCCCAAGTCCAAGCCCGAACCTCCGCTCTTGAACCGTGTGAACGAAGGAGTCTCCTTTATTCGCCATGCGCAGGTCTCCCACGTTCGTTTTCACGGAACCGATCAGCTTCGTTAGTTGACGGGTCGGGGACTGGCTCCGCGCTTTGCATCAGCCGCATTAATTGCGCTACACACAACACGTCCTAATGGCTACCTCATAGTAACTCCTCCCTCCTCGAGAGTGTTACTGGATACTTGATGTCCAGTAACGCGATACAAAAAAAAGTCACTCAAAATAACTTCTCTCTCGGTGCGCGCACATGCGTGAACCGATTTTCACTTTAATCGGAACAGGAGAACTTTCGCATCCTTCTGCGAAAAATAGACACAGCGACACATAATGCTCAAACGGTCCTCCGAGAGAAAACACTCTCCTAATGCACAAAATTAAAGAACGCACTCAGAATGAAGACCACAGCGTCAGTCAGTTTGAATTAGCTTGAAGCAGGGCACACGCACCGTGCATAGTCCTGTGACTATTGTCTTTCGAATTCGCCACACCACTTGGCCATTGTCTCAACGCGTGAGACCCACTCCATGCGCCCTCTAGACCCCGCGAAACACAATCAGAGTGACGGACTCAGCGCAATAGGTATATCTTGGTCTCAACGGATCGCATCAAGAAAAAAACTTATGGTTAACTTACTTAAAAAATACCACCCTAATTTATCTAGAAATTTATTCTTATACAACATTTCTACTACACCTAAAAAAGTTGTACCACTTAGAGAACAGCTCGCCTCTCAAAAATAACACAAGAATGCTTAGTACAACAAACAGAACATTTTCACATCATGCCGGAACTGTTAGTCTCTTCGACTCACCCTAACATAACGCACATAACCTAAATGTGCGATGCAAACTCCTGTACAGTCATTTCATTCACAGAAACGACTTCAGTCGCTACAACGACAACGAAGACAACGAAAAGCACTCAACCATATCAAACAGACAAAACATCACTTTGTCACTAAACAGTCACAATCACGCAATCCAGTGATCATCCTAAACGCGAAAAAGCACAAGCAGCCTCGTTCAGCGTGTCTTCAATACAAACAATTTCTTTTTCACATTCACCTCTCATTCAAGTGTGAACGCCTACTGGTGCGAGGGGTTCTGCCTCTCAGTGAATAATGCGACTGATCGTTCACATTCACCTATCGTTTGGGAGAGGCAGCCCCTAATGGCCGTCTCCGATACGTCTTTGGCCAAACAAAAGCTTGGCTGGTGTTGGTTGCCATGAACTCAGAAATAAACACGAAGGCCTCCAACACAATCAAAGACTACCTGTGCCTCTACGTTTCACAGTCGCGTGTTCGACACTCTCGAATAGCGATTACCGATAAATAACTGACTTTTCACTAGAAGCCTCTCACAATGCCACCACTCTTCGGTAACATGACATATCTAAGCACTAAAAAAAAGAAAAAAAACTGGTAACAAAAATAACTTCTCGCCGTGGCGATCACGAGAAAAAAAACGTTTCAGAGCATTAAATCAAGAACTTGGAACAAAAATAACCTTCAATGAATACGGTAGTTCAACTCTACAAAGATCTTACGGCTCCACGTCACACTTGAGCCGCACACGCGATGGTCCTGGCCTAACGACTTTTCGTTTTGAACGGGAAATACACACGACGTAGAACCCACTCGTTCCACCAGAAAACCCCAACGCTAGCCGCTTTTTAATGCGCTTTTTCGTTTTCCTTTCTGAGAATTTACCACCGCAAGAGTTGTCGTGTGCTAACATTTCGTCTCAGCGCGAGTTTGGTTCTACTGACTGGCGTGACCGCTTCCCCTCTAACTGCTCTTTATCAGTTAACTTGGCGTGGGACCCCTTTTTCTCCTAACGCTGCACAATTGCAAGTGACTCATGTCATTCCTTCTCACCATCGAGATTACTTCGACCGAGTTGACCAAGTCGTTCGTTGCCCACTTTCTTACATTCCGCAGCAGAATTGCAACATTTCAACAGCGCCTGGTCTACACGTGACGAGAACTTAGTCATTTGCGGCTCCCTTGCTCGGCCGTCCTGTTTCTCCACTGTCCGCTGCACGGTGTTAGCACTAGGGCTGTAATCTCATAGCACATGCTCTGGCTCTCTCATCGGTGAATACTGCTCCGGTCTAACTTGCTGTCTTACACAGTTCACCCTCGTATTACCCTCCTTTGGATCTTCCAGTGACTCTTGCCAGTGACGACGATGACATTCGTAATCTGCGGGAGTGAGCGCTGCGGGCACACTCGTATTCAACTGATTGGTCACTGTGCATCGCAATTTTACCAGCTCAGCGACGCTTCCTGGTGGGGCTGGAAATCCGAGAGGTACCCACACAAGACACGCAGTAACACCTTGCCCAAAGGTGCCAGTTAATCTTAATCTGCCAGTACTAT